CAGTATTAAAAATAGAGTTGGGCCAAAAGAAGAACAACACCCTCCACTCCCCCTCTTCTCAGTTTCTGTTTCCTGCAAGCTTTCCGGATCTTCAAATCTTTTTCGAATTGATTCAGAGGCTTCTGTATTGGTTCAGACCTTTTAATGGGTCTTCCAATTCAATTTGGATTTGGAGATTCAGCTGCTGAATTGGGCCAAATCTCTTTCGAGTTCTATTGGCTACCAAAGCTTTGCACAGCCCTACTGAACATGTGTTAATATGACCTGGACAGAGAAGGTTCTTTAGGTAAGTGTGGTATCTTTTATTAGGCCAACTAAATATTGGAAGATTTGTTCTTTGCAAGCTTTTGGGCACAAACGCCCTTCTTCAGGCACCGGAAGAGTCTGTTGTTCTTTTGTATGTTCTCTTGGGTGGAATGGAAGCCCGTATGCAAAAAGCAGGTCTTTGAAAATGCAAATGGGTAGCAATGAGGATCAGAGGCCCTGTATGACAGTAAGTGTGAGACAGGTCGGTGGGGTGGGGGAAATTTGAACTGGTGATAGAATATAGCTGGTAAAAAGCAGACAGGTTACCAGATGGCAGGCAGGTTATGATGTGCCATAAATCCAGTGTCTATATTTAGTCCATGATGTTTTGTATCCAGTAGATTTATGAAGTGAAGTTCTGATTGTTCTGAAATTGTCTCAATGACATACTTTGTTTCGCTGTCAGATGGACTCCTCAGCTACTCACAGGATTCTTCACTATGAACAATAAGTGGCTGTCTGGTATACACAGAATGGGGAAACGTTCATCTTGGTAGGAATCCCTCCTCATAACATCAAGCGTTCTGAAATACTGCTTGACTTGGCAATCAAAGCCCAACAGGAAGACCATCCACTACATGACAAGGTAGAAAAATACCCAATGCAGAAATGTCCAAGAAGCAGAAAATCCCTACCAGTATCCGCCAAATACATCATAGAGGAAGCAGGAGACACCATACTGTCATCATAGCCCCGGAGAAAGTGGGAAGAGCAATGAAATAACAAATTCACCCCACTACATAACTACAAACAACTACCATCTTCACTCCCTCCAGGTCATAAACTCCCACGTAAGGCATGGGTAAACCTGAATCAACTGTGATCAGGCTATGGAGCCTTCAATAAAATCAAACATAAAATGGTCCTTAGGAACTCACCATCATGCCCCTGTGGCAAAGGAGATCAGACAGCCCAGCATATACTAATTGACTACCCCCTACATCCACCAGAGGGAGTGAACAGTCTGAAAGATTGCAGTAATATTGACAGATCTACTCTTAAATGGTTGGAGGAGTCAACTTTCTGAAGTCGTACACAAGAAGAAGATGAAGTGAAGTTTGTAGGCTTATCTATGAGAGGTGTTTTGTAAATTCCCTTTGAAGATTAGAACTGAGAGACTGGAGAAAGAGTGGTTATCTTGTGAGAAGTGTGCATCCACAGGTAGTTGGGTATTTCTGTCTTTGATAGATTTTTGGTGTGTGTTCATTTTGGTATGCAGTTGTTGTTTGGTTTCTCCTACATATTTTCCATCTGGGCACTTACTGAACTGGATGAGAGAGAGTAGATTTCTGGAGGTGCAGGTATAAGATCCAGGAATAATGATGGTTCTGTTGTAGGGTGTAGTTATTGTGGGGGTTGGTGGAGATGCACTGGCAGATTTTACATTTCTTGTCCCAGCATGGTCTGGATCCATTCAGTGTGCTTTGGGCCATAGGAAGTTTGCTTCTGGTAATGAGGTTGGCGAGGTTCAGTACTTATTTAAAAACTAGGATGGGTGGTTGTGGAAATATCTAAGAATTGGGTTTTCTAGTACAGGTTGCAGTTGTCTAAGGATTTTCCACATAGGTTCCAAGGAAGGATGGTATGTCATAACTAATGGCATGCGATTAGTTGGGATTTTCTTTTTGTACTGCAGTAATTCTTCACATGGTATCTGGGTGACTTTTTCAAAAGTATGATCTGTCTGTCTGGAGGAGTGTCCTAGTTGGGTGCAAGCCCTTTTGAGATTTGTGAGGTAATGATCACGGGTAGTCTTCTCAGTGCAAATTCAGTGCTATCGGAGGACTTGGCTCTGTATTACAGCTTTTTTGGTGTGCTTAGGGTGATTGCTGGTTCTATGTATCTTGGTCTGTGGGTTTCTTGTTATATGGTGGTTTGTATTTTACCATTTTGGATACTGAGCATAGTGATTACTTGTTATAATTACTTGTTGAGCATAATGATCCAACCAGTTATGTATCCATCTTACAGCACTTTCATCTGGTCTTTATTCCTGTAGCTTTTTAGTGAGAATATTGTGGGGAATAGTGTCAAAAGTCACGCTAAAGTAAAGGTATATCCCATCTACTGCTCTCCCCCATTCATAGACCCTGTCTCTTTATCTTATAAAAGAATTATATTGGTCAAACATGACTTGCTGTTGCTGAGTCCGTGCTTGCTGCCCCGATCACCTTGTTCTCCTTCTCTAGGTTCTTGAAATAGATTCTTTGAGGACCTGCTTTATGATCTTTCTAGGTATCAAGGTCAAAGTAGTCTAATTCCCTTGATCTTACTCCTTTTCTGTCTTAAAAATTGACATTATATTTGCTCTTTTCAATCATCTACGACTCCACAATTTCTCTAAGAAGATAGTTAATGGTTCTTAAATTACCTCAGTCAGTTCCTTTAGTACCATTGGGTGTATCCCATCCAGCTCTGTAGACCTAAACTTCTAGGTCCTCTAAGTAATCCCTAACCTGTTTTTTCCAATACTCTAAGCTGTTTGTCTCCTTCCCTATCTTTGCTCCCAACTGTACTTTTCATCTGGTAGTTGACCTTATTCATAAAGACTGAAGTAAAAAAAGGCATTCTCAGCCTTTTCTTCATCTGTAACTAAATTTCCTTCTCTGTTTAGTAAGGGATCTACACCTTCTTTGGTTTTCCTCGTACTTTTCACATATTTGTGGATTCCTTTTGTATTGCCTTTTATGTCTCTTGCCAGTTGCATCTCAAGTCAGCTTTTGGCCTTCCTGACATTTTTCTCCCTTCATGCCCCTGGGATACTTTTATAATATTCCATAGTAATATGACCAAATATCCCTGGAAGTACCCTTTGATAAACTTACCCAATTTTACCTTAAGTGATTCAGGTTCTTTGTCTGCTCTATATGTGGCTCAGAAAACTATTTCAGCAATTCAGTCCTTGAAACCTTGTTTCCAAAGTAAAAAATCCATAACTCATTTGTAGCCATTTGATCTTGTCCCACTGGTGTTTCTCAGACTGAAATCATCTCCCATCTGAAGCACTTCAGAATGGTCCTGAATCTGTGCCGTGATGGAGCTCTGCAGCAAACCAGAAAGACAGTTGTCCTCTTTTCCCCAACTTGTGCTGGGTACTCATTCCAGGTGCAGGCTTGATCATCTACACCTCAAGAACATTTCTTAGTTATATGAGCAACACTGTCAACTTAGGGAATGGACACCTACCATCCCTTTGCAAGTTAGTGCCCGGCTGAACAGTGTAGAGTTATGGCCTTCCTGGGCGTGCTTTGCATTCTTTTCCAGCTCATCTTACAGTTGGTGAGCACCAGCTTGGCAGCACATGGCACAATGACCAAGGTCCTGGAAAGACACCTGCTAACGATATGCTGTCTGCTCAGCACCACCAGTGCCCCTGTGTCCCATCAGTGGGACTACCTGCAAATCATGTAATGGCACTTTGGGGCATCAAAAACTAATAGGATCATAAAGCCCTGAGGGCATGGGATGATGAGGAGTGGTAGCAGACCTGTTGGATGAGATGTGCCACTAGTAGACATCCCCCCCCAGCCATGTGCTACTGCTGCTGTGTCTCTACCTGTAACACTGCTGCAGATAGGCAGACAGTAGTCCGTCCTTGGGGACCTATGCTTGGATGGAGGTGGGAAGAACAGCCAGCAAGTATAAAGGTGGGGGATGGGCTGGGGGGCAGCACATTGTAGAGTGGAGGTGGGGATATAAGAATGAGTACATAACTAGGAAATCCCTGGGGTGGGGGAATCACAGTGTAAAACCATTACTGCAGGCAACCAAAGTTGCCAACCCAATACACTTTTTCAAATAATTTGCCATTTTTTTTTTTTTACCAACAACCAAACTTTTTAACTGTGGTTGGCATTAAACCCTGAATTTGAACCTGCCCTTGTCCAGGTCCTGGCAGAAAGGTTACAATTACATTATGTAAAACATTTATCATTTAACATTTAAAAAGAAAGTTTGCTTGTCAGTAAAATGCTTGTCATTTTGAGTAAAAAAAAAAAAAATGGTCCTGGGTTGGCAAACCTGCCTGCAGGCAACCAGCTTTGAAGTGGAGGTTCTGTACTGCATAGCTACATAGGGACTCAACATACCTTCACCTCTTCTTTCTCATGAAGCTTTCCTGGGGCATTTGGATTAACCACTGGCCAAGCAGCTGCCTCATGAAAGTCAAGTACACCATTGGGACACTGTCAACAGGGGTTAGGAATGGAAGAGATGGCAGATTGGCAAATTGGCTTGTCAGTAACTAAGCCCACTCTGCTGCCTGATGAGGAGGGAAGGGTGTCCTTTGGCATGGAATAGCATGGTAGCATGCCTCCACATTGATTTGATGGGTTGAAGGAACTTGTGTCCCAGGCCACCACTCCCTCACTGGATGAAAAGAGGCCCAGTATCTGCAAGGTGGAGGAGGACTTCTTCAGACCCCAACTCCGCTGTGAAAGCAGAGCCCTGGAACTGGATTCAGAGAGAGTGGCTATGGCTGAAGTGGGAGGCTGGGTGGTAATGATGATGATGAAGCAAATGTCACCAAACTCATATGTTGGAAGCATCAGGGCCAGAAAGCCAGCAGCAGGGAGAATGGTCAATGTCAAGACCTTTGATGCCCAAAGGAGGGGTATGAAACAGCAATGGAAAGACATTCCTGGGCTGGGGTTGGCAATGCTGACTGGGACCTACTTCATGGGTAGGAGGAGTTCACAGAATGATATCTTGGGGAACATCAAAAGGAATTAGGGTGAATTAGTGGGATTCACAGTACTGAATCCAGTCTGAGGTTGAACTTTGAGGACATGATGGCTTTGGGATTTTTTGAAAGGTTCTGTCTGTGAGATCCTCAATAGTTTTTCCCCTATCTGGTCACAGTTCTCTTTTCAGATGGTGGAGGATGGGAAGAGGGCAGTAAGTAGTTTGTCCCCTGATCAGGATCCACAACGGAAGACACTGGAGAGAAATCCCAATTTTTCTAGGATGTCTTCTACACTGACCTCTACTGTTCCATGTCATGGAGTGCTGATAACATGAGCTCTTTAGGGCAACTATAAATGCTCTTTTGCTAGAGGAGATAGTGTCAAGGACTTTACTGCAAGGACCTTGTTAGGTTCTACTGCAGTATGGTTCAAATAAGCCTGTAGCAACTATTCAGCAAATACAAACTTAGTGTATGTAGCCTTTATTTATACTATCAGCCAGATGATCAGAACTGGCTGACATCTGAGGTAGTGCACAGTTAAACACAAATCCAAAGTGCATTTCTGTTCTACTTTTTTTTATACATTAGAGGTGCTTATGTTAAGCATGCATCATTGCATATTATTGCTTGCTGATTTAATGATTTTTATAATTAACCTTTATATCTATTATAGTCAATTTTGGTTGTATCATTTTATACACTTTCTTCATGTTCAGTCATGTTTGGTACCATTCACCTTTACAGTTTACAGAGCATGTATTGTTTTAGGTTTGGTCATACCATCCACTGTGCTCTTACAAACTACCACAGTTTGTACTGATCCTATCTATCTCACTGTGTTCTTGAGTAGATCCCAAGTATTCTAATGCACTCTGCTGCCCTTTACCTAATGTAGGCCCTTCAAGCTTTTAACTTGTCCTGACCTGCCTTATGGCTTAAGCCAAGCCTGCCTTGGTGGGCCTTAGGGAAAGACTGTTGTGCCTGGCATGAGACCTGTGCAGGGACTCTGGGACGTAGTATTGTTTGTGTTGTGAAAAATGCAAATTGAGATTTTATATCTAGGTTTACCATATCATTATTTTTTTTCACTTCTCACATGAGTGGTTATGCAAGACCCTGGAAAGGCATGGTGATGCTAGCCACTCCTGACCTGACTAGTTGGCAGCAGTGGGAGGAGGACTGGGTTGCGCCCATAGCGTTGTTTCCATCCAGTGCGGCCTTTTCTCCACAGTAGCCAAAGAAGGGCAGGGTATGGATTTGGAGGAAGTGCTGTGGATTTCTTGCTTCCTGAAAGACATGGAAGGGAATTTATCAGTGTTAATCCCTTAAAGAGCAAGAACAATAAAGTGCTAAACTGCTCATTAATGAATGATCTGATAATTGTCACTTAAGTCCACAAACAGTCTGGACTGGGCAACAGAAGTTTCCAAAGAGATCCCTATAATTTCCCCAAAAGTTCAGTTTAATCACCCCTGCCTTTCAGCACACATTATTCTATTGTCATTCAGGAGGTTGTTAATCTACCTGGCAACAGTCCCATGCATATATGCTAAAACTTAGCGCGCAACCAGCATAACATTGCATATTAGCACCCCTCACAAATTCTGAGGACAAGGAGTCTCCTCTCTTGGGTAAGCCTCTCTACCTAGTCAGCACCCTACTTCCTCACTGGTGGTTTACAAAGGGAATCTCAACCTTTTATTACAAAGGGAATATTCAAAGCAAATATTCCCCCTCTTCAGCTTCATGCACCCTGAAACCATGTCTTTCCTGGAGGAGAGGAAGGGGGTGAGGGGAAAAAAAGGAGAGGACATGTTTGATATCCTCCATGTTCTCAGTAAAAGATTACAGTGTTGGGACCCCAAACCTCAGAGGCAGCTTTATGATGCTGGGGGAGGGTGGGTCTGTATGTATGGGTGGGGTGGGAAACACCAGTACTCTTGCATTTAATGGTTATGGCAGGAGCATGCTCAGCAGGAATAGAAGTGCAGTTGGCAAGAATGTGGAGGAGGATAGTTGACTGTGAGGACAAGGCAAGATCTTGTGTGAGGTTGTAGAGATGGACTGGGTTGGTTTATGTTGGTGGTGTTGGAGCTGCTATGTCAGGGTGAGCCTCCTGATCAGTGCTCTCAAGTTCTCCAAAGTTATCCTGTCTTTCCTGTACCTGCTTCTTAATCATGGTGGGAGCAGGAACTGGAAGATGCTTCTGTTTCTCTCCAACCTCTCTGAGACCTCAGTGGCCTTAGGTTTCACCCTAGAGTTGCCAACATAGCTTTGTTGAGTCATCTCCCACTGAAATTTATGACATCTCCCTGTAGTAAGTGTAAATAAATTTCTAAATACCTGAGATCTGACTATCAGTTCAGGCCTCTTTATATCACACTTCCAGAACCTGGACTGATACCCAGGAGAGCCCCAATGACTTGAATTAAGCACTACACAAACACAGCAATCCCAGTGTATGATCAGGGGATTTATTTTGTAATGGGCTATAATTAATAAAAACACCTGCCACATTGTTAAAGAGCTCTCGCAGTTAGTTAATTTCTAATTTCTACAGTTACAGTTTATAACATTAGTATAGATCATCCCGAGAAGAGTTCTTTTTAAAAATTACAGCATATGGTAAGACTTGATTTACTTGCACAACATTGTTGTTTAATGTCTGTATGTGACTCGCATCAGCCAGAGATATAACAATAAACCCTCTTTGGAAAAAATAGTATTGTGCTTAGGAATTTGGACACATTCCAACTATAAATATGACAGCAACAGAATTTGGATTTATTTTTAAACACTCAAGTTGGTGGGTCTAGTTCTCTGTTGACTGTTGGTTGCTTATATTAGGATGTCTATATCTGCACTCTAACATGTTCTAATTAATCGAGGCTGCTCCACATGCTAGTAGAACACTCTAGCATCACCACAGCATCACATGTATGAGCCCCCATGGGTTTCAGAATAGTCACTGGGGCACTTTAACTAAAGCTCATTGAATGAGCCTTTATTAAAGCATCCCACAACCGTTTTTAAACGCTTAGGAGCTTAATACATGTAACACTGTAATGTTTTAATTGGAGTAGTTCTCCAGGAGCTGCTCTATTTAAAACGCCCCACCCTGAGCACATATATAGGTACCCTTAGTATCAAAATAGTGCTCTGAATAGGTAAATGTTTGTAGGAAATATCAGACAATGGATACTTGGATCCTGTGGAGGTCTGTCTGTATGAGATTTAGGTTCAAATCGTGTACAATTCTATAAGTTTATATAGTGTAGGAATTATGCTAACACATTTAGTTAGCCTCTACATTTTAAAAACCCCCCACAACTTTATTCAGTTTACACTGATGAGACCACTGCATTTATATCCAACAGGTAAATACATTTGTCGGTTATTTTCCCTAGATGAAATATCATCTTCTGGAGGGAGGGAGAGATGGTGAAGTTTTTTTGTTTTTATTTTAAAGGAAAAGTGCTCGTGAATTAAGAGGGTTTTGTGTTTGTTTGGGTTTCTTTGTGGGGGAGGTTAATTAGCTAGTTCAGGACTAAATTTCCATGTTTGCATAGCTACATGAAAGAACTTCAGTTAGACTTATTTTTGTAACCCATTTCTAGATCAAAGCAAAATTTAAAATGCCTGAGCTAAAACAAGAATATTTAACTTTAAAAGAACATAGTAACACTTGTTTTTTTCCCATCTGCTTTTGGTTAAGTTAACCTGACCATGTTACAGTTATTGCAACTAATATATATGAAGGGGAAAAGTTAGTTGACCTCTGCATTATTGGTATAGGTTTCTGTGTTTTTTAAAATGGTTTTGCACTAAAATTTTAGCAGATCCTTTTCAAAATAACTTGTCAATCTTTGTATAAAAACAGTTTTAACCTAGGGGTAACCAAAATTTGATTTTTCTATTTCCACATTCACTTTTGGCTTCTGTACCACTTTTTGTCCAAATGTGCCAAAGCTATCAGCAAACTTTAATTTGCACCTCAGAAACGTATTGCAAAATTCTGGTGTTATTCCCCAGCTAGCTTAGGGACAAACTATAACAAGGAAGGTAAAATAATGTCAGCATTGCTGATTGCTACGTTTGCTTTTGCTACAGCTCTGTCAGCTTCTTTCTTCTGTTCCACTTGGGTTATACTGCATACCATCTGAAAAGCTAAATACTTTTCCTGTTTGCACTGTAGTTTATAAATCTTGCTGCTTTGTTTTCACAGAAATCAGAAATGGTTTGTGATGATCCTCCAAAGAAGATTAAAACTCAAGAATCTGCCAAGAACCAGCAGTGGCAAGAGGAAGGGAATGGTCTTGCAAATACCCTTGAGCACATTGTGGGACAGTTAGATGTTCTTACCCAGGTATGAAATCTTTTTATAGGCTCATAAGGATAATTGGCTATTTCTTGTCATCAAATAAGTTGCAGTTGTTTTGAAATGGCTCCATAAAATAAAATAATAAAATCTGAATAATCCTCTAAATCAGTAGTTCCATTGGCCATCTCAAGTCTAGCCTCATTTTGCTTTTATTTTTTTTCTTCCATGTGCAGAGTATGTCTGCACAGCAATCTGCAATATATTATAGGGATATGTGAGCTAGGTTGGGTATCTGAAGTCATCTAGCCACAACAGCACCCAAGAAGCAAGGCAAACCACTACACATAGATGTACCACTACATGCTGCACTGGTAAGACTGCTGCCAGTGCTAAAGCTAAGTCATTTAAAGCAGTGGTTGGCAACCTTTGTAAGCCACAGGCCAGAACAACCCAGCTTTGATATGATGTCGGCTGGATGGCTTTCATGGTGTGTCAACAGTGGGTGGGATGGTGGGGAGAGATGTTGCCTGCCCCTTATGCCAGGCCCAGGGAATTAGGAGCTCTGCCTCCACTGCCGCAGTTTCTCCCAGCACCATGCTTCCCATCTGTAGCACAGGCATATCTTCCTGTTGATGGGGAGCTGTGCTGGGACTGGGCAGCTTCCAGTTGGTTCTGCAGTACCTTCACTTCTCCCTGTCCCCATCTCCCACCAGTACAGTAGACCTAGCTAGAAGCAGCTTGGCCCCAACCCAGCTCCCCATTGGCTGGAAGCTGCATCCATACTGCAGGGAGAAGGGCACAGGTGAAGACCTACAGCTGCACAGGCTGGATCCAGCCCATGGGCCATATGTTGCTGACCCCTGATTTAAAGTAAAGTGAATAAGTGCTCCAATCTTCAGAGTAAACAGTCCCTGTTCAAATCTACCAGTTTCTGCCACTTAGTTTTGTTCCCTGGCATTCCCTATGTCTCTAAGACAGGGGTGCTTAATCTCCAGGCCACAGGCCAAATCTGGCCCCTGGCACCATGTTATCCAGGCTGCAAAGCTCCCCATGGAGCCTGCAGGGAGCCCTGTGGACTATGGCCCTGAGTGCTAGACCAAGTGTGTAGAGAAGTTCAGGGCCTGACCTTGTGTGTGAGGGTAGTGCAGGGCCTCTGGAGCCCGATCCCAACCAGGTGGAGGCAGTGCAGGTCCCTGGGTCTTTATCCTATCATGTGGGGGCAGTTTGGCCCTGATCTGGCTTGTGGACTGGCTCTGTGCCGTTTATCTGGCCTGTGGGACCAAAACTGAGCACTGCTACTTTAAAATATACTCCTCCCATGCATATGTATTCCCTACCCTTGCGCTATCTTTTTTTAAGTATTATTTTTTTTCTGAACCACATCACTTTACCCAGAGCCAGAAGGTACAACTCTTGCCTCCACTACTTCAGTATACTACTTTAACTCCAGCCACAACTATTTAACGTAGTCTTAACATGCCATTTTCCTTGTTAACTTTTTTAAATACCACCAGCGTAAACATTACAAATACTTTCCAAAATAAACTTAAACTTCCCACTTAAATGATTCCAACCAGTAACATGCATACAACACAGCATAGTTAAATAGAACTATCAACTAAACATATATATTTTTTCAACATAACATCATTTAATTTCTTCATTTTGAAAATATTAGTGTTCGAACATTTCCCATGGTTATAGTTAAACTTCTGCATTGTATAGAAGTGGGAGGAAAAAGGCATGTATTATGGCTGGTGAATGTTGGTGTGGTAACACAGTAGACCAATTCATCATTATAAGTGGGAAATGCTAGGTGAGACTAATTAATTTGCAGCTT